GACCTGTTTGTTGCTGTTTGTTGTGCAACGCGTTGACCTGTTTGTTGTTGTTCTGTCTCTCAGTTCGAGATGCTGACGGGAACGCTGCCGTTTCAGGGCAAAGACCGGAAAGAGACGATGACCATGATCCTCAAGTAAGAAACTTTACACCGTCAGATCGCTCGTATCCAATCACCGCCTCATCACGGCCGAGAAGAGGCTCCCCTCCTCCCCCCACAGGGGTCCATATTAGAGGAGATAAAGTGCAGCACTCAGGAGGAAGAGGAAGAGGAAGACGAGCAGAGAGAGAGAAATATTAACCCGTCCTGCTTCCTCCGTCGTCTCTGTTTCCCTCTGAATGAAAAGTGCTGAGCAGACTCTCTGCAGAGCGCTGACTGTGCTTCCTGTGCCGTCGGCTCGTCTTTCACATACTTTCAGTTTGGAAACACAATATGGACGGTTTAAGAGCACAAGAGCTGCAGCTCACTGCAGTTCCTCTTGTTTGTGTGTGTTCCACAGGGCCAAGCTGGGAATGCCACAGTTCTTGAGTTCAGAAGCTCAGAGTCTCCTCAGGAACCTCTTCAAACGCAACCCTTCCAACAGATTAGGTAAGAACAGAACATACAAACAATTTAAAATGCATGCATGCCCAGGTATTCTGCATCTGCAGTCTGGTCGTTCAGATAAACTGTACATGAATCCACAAATCGACGTACATGCAGCAGATTCCTGATAGGATCAATAACAGGAAATCTGAACTAGTTGACAGTATGCGTCAGAGGAGGAGGAGCCAATCTCCAAATAGAGACTCACAATCATCATTGAGTAACGAGTATAGTGTGTAATTATTACACACTATACTCGTTACTCGTCACAAAGGAAGAAGATATATTACTGATATATCTTCTTCCTTTGTGCCACAGAGCTCCACCATGAACACACACTCAAATACTCACTACAGCACCAAATGTGGATTAGTCCGCCGCTGAAGATAGTCCCCAACAAACGCTCCGTTTCCTCCTGTTTGTTTGTTTGTTTGTTTGTTTGTTGGATAAATACTGGACTGACAGCTGTTTGTTTGTTTGTTTGTTTGTTTGTTGGATAAATACTGGACTGACAGCTGTTTGTTTGTTTGCAGGAGCCGGACCAGACAGCGTGGAGGAGATCAAGAGGCATCAGTTCTTCAGCACCATCGACTGGAACGTCAGTGTCTCCTTTATATAAACTTTATTAAAAAGTTACTGTGAGGAACTTTAACTGGTCCTGAACCAGTCTCAGTGTAGTCCTGATCCTCTATATGAACCAGTCTCAGTGTAGTCCTGATCCTCTATCAGACCTCCATCAGTAAAGAGACCATCAGAGAGAAGATGGTCTGTTTCTATAGAGTTATTCTTGATGCTCGTCATCGGAGCCACCGGGTCAGATTCTGGTGAAACCAGATGAAATCATGCAGGTTCACCAGAACCTCCTTCAGCTCAGACTCCAGCAGAGACCGGTCCACCGTGGACAGACCCAGACCCAGGACGTATTGCTGGACCTGCTGGAGGGAAGGGAGGCACGGGAGAACCAGAACCAGGACTGAGAGGAGCAGACTGTCAGACCTGCTGCAGTAGAATGACAGGTTTACTCAAGAGACTGGTGCTCAGAGACACGACAGCTTTAGTCCACAGGGGGCGACAGAACCAACACTAAGTTAAAGTTCCTCACAGTAACTAATATGCTCAACAGTTTTATTCCATGGTTTAAATATTAACATCACTCTCATTGTTTTGTCTTTGACTGTGTGTCCCACTCTTCCTCTTCCATGTAGAAACTCTTCCGCAGAGAGCTTCCTCCTCCCTTCAAACCGGCTGCAGGACGACCTGACGACACTTTCTATTTTGATCCAGAGTTCACAGCGAAAACACCCAGAGGTGCAGACTGTCACCTCCTCCTCCTCCTCCTCCTCCTCCTCCTCCTCCTCCTCCTCACTTCACACGCCACTGAGCTGAACTACATCCTGAAAACAATTTATTCTTTGAGCAGTGAGGTTCAGCAGCTATTTTCTATGTTTGTGTCTCAGACTCTCCGGGGGTTCCTCTCAGTGCCAACGCCCATCAGCTGTTCAGAGGGTTCAGTTTTGTGGCCATAACAGAAGAGGACACACAACCAATACCCAGCACTATTGTACAGGTATGTACACACACGCATATTATAACTTAACATATCAGAGGCAGAAATGCTCTGATTTAGAGAGTAAAACCTCATCCGAATGTTTACAATGTTTACTGAGGTAATAAATCAAGAGAGAAGTAGAGT